CATCCATCCATCCATCCATCCATCATCCATCCATCCATCCATCATTGTTCTGTTGTTTAAATTATTTAAAAGAACGTTCCTTTTGTTCTTGAACTGTCAGCTGTAGTGGGCTGTGAAAGTCCGTCCCAGTCTCCATGTCCAGACCAGTAAAAGTCGGCTCCATCTGTGGGTCTCATGTTGGGCTGCAGACCTCGGCGTGGCCCACAGTCTCTGGGCCACAGTTCAAATATTCAGTTTATTTTTTTTATTCTTTCCCAGAGGAGGAAGCAGAGCTGGCCGCACGCTGTGAGGCAGCAGAGCGCCTCCTGGAGGAGCAGCGGTGCATGATGGTCGCCGTACGAGGGGAGCTGCGAGCCGGCCGGGCACGGACGTCTGTGCTGGGCCGCAGCCTGAGGGAGGAGGAGAAACGTTTCCTGGAGGAGCTGAAACGTCGCAGCCACAAGATCACGCTTCTGAGCCGGGAGCTCCAACGTCAGAACCTCACCAGCGCCACCCTCAGCCACCAGCTGCACACTGCACGTTTGACACTCTGCCAACAGCAGCAGGGCACAGACTCTGCTGCAGAGGCAACAGGAGGCGGTGGAGGGGAGGAGGAGGAGGAGGAGGAGGAGGAGTGGGAGGACTCAGTCTGGCTCCTGTCACCAACTCCTCCTGCGTCTCCCGTCCAACCAGAGGAGAGACACAGGAGGCGTGTGACGATCCGGCAGGAGAGGGTCAGAGCCTGCGTCCCACAGGAGAGAGTGACGTCACCCCAGAGGCCACACCCCATGCCTGACCCCGCCCTGTTCCTCATGCCCCTCAGATACCGCCTCCTGCGCTTGAATCGACCGCTGAGAGTGGAGAAGGAAGAGGAGCTGGACGATGAATGGGAGGACATTGAGGAGGACAGAGTGCACCGGAGGGTGGACATGGGAGCGGGGGAAGGAGAAACAGCTCTGTGATGGGGGAGGGGGGAGAGGGTGGGAGGCAGTGGGGCAGAAAGTCTTCCAGAAAAACATGAAACTGTCTGGTTGTCTGCAGAGTTGAAGACTCAGGTCTGTCTGCACGTGTGCGCCCCCTGCTGGTGTGCTGCTCCTGGTTCAGAAAGTTAAAGATTATTTTCAATGATTTGCACTTTATTAAAGTCATGTTTGTGCCTGGAGAACGGAGAAAAAACACACTTTAACAAAGAGCTGTTCACTGATCTAAAAAAAAAAAAAATCAACAAAAATGTCTTTAATTCAATGGTAAATCCTAGGAATTTAATTTTTAAAAATATTATCTGAATATAAGTGGTCTGGACTGTGGTCCAGAGTGGATTTCAGACCCAGGTCCAGGTTTAGTCCCAGGTTCAAGTCAAAACGTCTCCATTTTGTAAGTTTGAACAACATGAAGTAAAATCCCATCTCAGTTTTATTTGTTATTGGAGGAAATGAATAAAGAAACAGAAGTGAAACGTAAAACTATTTTATTTTTATTTCAAAAACAAACACTTTTTTTGACTTTGTCCAACGTCTCTGGGCTGTGGTCCAGTTCCAGAATGTTCCCACGGTTCTCCTGGAGACTGTGCTCTGCATGTTAACATCATCCTGCTGCAGCGCTGCCATGGCAACGGAGGAGCTGCGACGATGGCTGTCAGTGAAACAGGCCGTCACCACAGGGGGCGGAGTTTCAGAGTTTGTTTTTGAAACAGAAACGTTTGTTACGTTTGATCTTTTTACCAAAAAAAAAAAATTAAAACTGTGACTAACGACCTGCTGCTGTCGGTGCTTAACGTTCAAGGTCGGTAGAGAGCACACAGGCCGGAATACAGGAAGTGACATCATCAACATCGCAGCAGGCGCCCTCTCCTGGTCTTTGGCTGGTACTGACTGGTGAAGGTGGGTGTGTGGCCTACAGGCTGCCACAGAGCTAACAGTGAAGGACACACACTCTCTCTCTCTCTCTCTTACAGACACAGTGTGTGTGTGTGTGTGTGTGTGTGTGTGTGTGTGTGTGTGTTGCAGCACAGTCAGTCGAGGGGAGTCTCCACTGGACACCATGTTTCTCTGGGTCCAGCAGGATGGACAGGAGTTCAGTGACGAGAAGATGACAGGAGCGTCTGGTAGGTCCACCCTGTGTGTGTGTGCACCAACATCTGGGTCACACCCCAGGTGTGGGACGTGGGGACTTTGAACCTGTTGACGTTAGCATCTGTTTGATTGACAAGAGGAAATGTTGATGAAGTGGTCCCAAAGTGGGGGGCAGGGCCCCAACAGGGGCAGAGAGTAGGCAGCAAGAGAAAGGTTTTTAATTTTCACATTTTTTCTTCAGTTGTCTCAGAGTTTGGAAACTATAGATTTTTTCTATTTTATTGATTTTTCTATTTTATTGATTTTTTTTATTTTATTTACTTTGTTCAACAAAATATCTGTTTTGTAGGAATTCCAGTGTTTCAAACAAATTTCAGTGGAATTTTGACCCCATATCTGGGAGTGTGTTGAGGAGGTGGGGGTCAACTCGTGTTCTATCAACATAGGGGGCGCTGCAGAATACATTCAGGAACCGCTGCCTTGTTTGTAATCCTACTAAAAGTTTGGACCTCATCTTTGTCTTTTTGCCTTCAGGCCGCCTTCACTGTTGAACTGCCGTTTCCACACTGAGGCATCATGGGAAACGTACTGCGTTGTTGTCAGACCCTGTGGGACCACTTCAAGTCCAGGAGCGCAGCAGTCCAGGGCGACGCAGAGAGGTCTCCCCTGCTCTCCAGCGAGGACAGTCAATGCTCCTCCCCCAGTCTCCTGGAGGAGTGCGAGGAGGATCTGCTGACCGTCTGCACCGCTGTGACCAGCCCGTCACTGGAGCCGGAGAACTTCCTGTTTCCTGACATCATCCTGAGCAGCAGCCTGGGAGGAGAGGTGACGCTGGTGGAGCCCATGGTGTGTCTGCTGGTGTCTGAGGAGGAGGGGGAGGGGCGGAGCCATGGGCTGTGGTCGGAGCAGGCGGGAGATCCAGGACAATGGAGGAGGTTTTCAGAGGTGGAGACACAAACAGAGGTGGAGGCCCCGATTGGTTGGGAGGTCCGCACCCAGGCCAGGTCGCAGGCCGAGGTTGAGACTCAAACAGAGTCAATGCTGTGCAGCGACGGCGATGTAACGATGGTAACGAGCAGCAGCTCTACGGCCGAGGTGACGGAGAAGATGAGACCTCCGCAGGAAAGACAGACAACAGTCCCATCAGAGGGAGGACAGAAAAACCCCGAGTCCAGGTCTGATCTGGAGACGTTAGTTCAGTCAGAGGAACCAGAGAAGAACTTCACGATCTTCACTGAAGGTCAAGATGATCTCAACGAGAGGCAGAAAAGTCATGACAGATTCATGACAGAGGTCAGAGGTCATTCAGCTGTCAGTCAGACCTCAGAGACACAGCTGAGGACAGAGGAAACAGAGAGGAATGTGAAGTCCCAGTTTGTCTCTGAGCTGAAGAATCAGGAGAGATCTGGGTCACACAACTGGACCAGGACCCACTCAGAGGTCAGCGTGGACCAAGATGAAGGTCCAGACCACATGACTCTCCAGAAACGTCACCATCAGATTTTACATCAGGAAGACGACAACATCGTCTGCATAAAGACAAACCTTTGTTCAGAGGAAGACACGGATCAAAGAGATGCAGAACAGGTTCAACGTCAGGAGGATTTGGCCCCGCCTCTGAGGGGGAGGACGGAGGGGGGGGAGGAGGAGGAGGAGGAAGAGAGTCTTCAGGATGTTCTAGGTTTGAAGGCAGCTCCATCACAGGTGGATGAGGACGGAGCCCAGGTGAAGAAGATGACCTTGTTTCTAGTGGACAGGCTGTTTCTGGGAGGAGAGGTCAAAGGTGAATCAGTCACAAATTCACCTGTAGTTGTCGTCTAGCTAACCGCTACGACGTCAAGGCTAACCTGCTAACTGTGTCTTGTCTGCTCTGTCAACAGAAGACATCCGACCGTGTGATCCTGACCCCAGTGATCGACTTGACGTCGGTGAAACAGCTGATCAGCCAGAAAGACTGTTGACTGTCAGAGTTCAACTTCCTGGAACTGAGAGTTTGGAACTGCAGGTGGCGCTGCTTTTAAACTGCCGCAGTTGACACACAGATTATTTCTGTTTTTCTCCGTCTAACTCTTCTTCTCTCCCAGGTTTCGGGCCAGACGCTGGTGTCGGAGCTGCACCAGAGGCTCATGGACCACCAGGTCACATGTCATCGCACCTGCTTCTCTCTGCACTTTGGACCAATCAGGATCGACGGCCGCACAGAGCTGGGCTCCGTCCCAGGGATGAAGGACGGAGGAGCGCTGATGAAGTTGGGGGGGGGTAACTGACCGTCACACTGACCGTCGCACTGACCGTCAGACTGACCGTCACACTGACCGCCAGACTGACCGTCAGACTGACCGTCGCACTGACCGTCAGACTGACCGTCAGACTGACCGTCAGACTGACCGTCGCACTGACCGTCAGACTGACCTCAGACTCCACAGCTGTCCTCCGTTGACCGTCCTCCGTCCTGATTCTGTTGCAGACAGTTATTCAGTGAGAGACGCACGTCTTCATCTCCGTCACGTTGGAGATCTTTTCCGGAGCCTGGACGCGGCGGATGCGTACGACGGGGTGAACGGCCGCTCGCTTTCGTACCTCACTTTCTACACCAGTGGACACGAGGGTAAAAAAGTCCTGCCGTGACCGTCAACACTGGGCAGCGTCCTTCTCTGTCCATCCTGACTGAATTATTTTTACTCTGAACTCGTCCTGCAGGAAAAGAAAGTGTTTCAAAACGAGGCTCCTGTGTTGACCACAGGCCCCCAGACCACGTCCTGCCTGGATGTAAGGACCGACCCCTGACCCCCCTGCAGCCGGTCAGGGACGACAGGAAGGTGATGAGAGAAGTTGAAGTCATTTATGCTGTGAAGAAAGAATGAATTATGGGTAAAAAACCAAAGTGTCGTTGCAGTGGATCCAGTGCCTGAGGGTCCTGAACATGAGCAGCTGGAACCCCCCCCCAGGAAACAGGAAGATGCACGGAGACCTGCTGTACCTGAGCGTCCTGACTCTGGAGGACAAGGAGCTCAACATCACCTCATCCACACGCGGTTTCTACCTCAACCAGTGGGTGGCGCCGTCGTCTCCATGACCTAGTTCTAACCCACAGAAACACGAGTGTCTGTCAGAGAAAAGGCCAAAAAAAAGTTAATTAAAAAATTAAGTTTTTATTTAAATGTCTCTGCTCCAGGTCAACTGCCTTCGTTTTCAATCCCAAACCGGCCGTTCCCAGAATCCTTTGCCACTCCCTGGTCGACCTACTCAGCCAGATCAGTCCTGCCTTCAGGAAG